AGGCCCGGAGTGGTGGGGCGACGGGGTGTGCTCGAGCCGGGAAGGCGGGCGGGCGGCGGGGCCCGCCGGCTCCTCCTCCTCCCCTGTCCCCTGGAAGCGGCGGCCCGTACTCCCGGCTCCGGTCCCTGGCCCCACCGCGCAGCTCGCCGCCCGGAACGCGGGGCCAACCGGGACTGCGGGTGGGAGGGCGAGCTCCGGCCCCTTTTGCCAGCTTGAGGGGCGCGGGGAGGCCGGGCAGGGTAGCCTTCAGTTTGAGGCTTTGAGGGCTCGCGGGAGCCCAGGTGGCCCCGAACTGCGGGGTGGAGGCTGCAGCCTGGGGGGTAGGGGACTTCTCGGGGCGAGGCCCAGGCCCCCCAGACAGACCGACCGACCGAAGCCCTGAGGGAGGCGGCGGGGAAGGCGAGCACCTCCTCCGAGCCCTTTATCCCTCCCAGCGGCCTTCACCCTTTCACTGCCAGGCCGACAGCGGGCTCCTCTCAAAGGAGCAGCTGCCAGACAGCTGGCAAAACAATGGAGACCCCGCTTTCCCGGGCCTCCTCCCCTTGGGACAGAAGAGGGGGGTGGGGAGGTGAACGGTAGGCTTTGGGGATTAGGGAGTGCAGGCTGTCCCCTGCGACTGGCTGCTCACCTCACCTTTCCCTGCCAAGGGGTGGGGTTCGTGTGGGAAGGTCGGACAGCCTGCCCCAGGCCTCTGGGAGAGACTGCCCTGACGCCCCGCCCTGCGAACCTGTCATGCCAGTTGTTTCGCCAATGGGACGGGGAGGTGGTAAGGTTCGCTGCCCTCCACCCCCGTGTTGGGGTGCTACTGGTACCAAGCCTGGTGAGGAGTGGGTCATGTTCCTGGCTGAGATAAGGCCTGCAGGGACACACCACACATTGGAGCTTTGTTTGGGGGTGGGGGTGGGGTGGGGGAATGGGGGTGTCACCCTGTTGCAAGGCACATGTGTCCTGCTGATTAGCTGGAAAGGCTGCCCGCCAGAATGAGCTGGGGGTGGGGTGGGGTGGGGAGGGTGAGGATGGGGGAGGCTGCCAGTTGGTTTTTTGAACGGTACTCCCTTTGCCTGGTCACTTGGCCAACCGGGCATGTGTTTGGCAGTGTCCTCGTGCTTTGTGTTTGTGTAGGGAGGCCTGGGACGATGCTTCCTGGGAGGAGCTTTCCTGCCTACGACCTTTTTGCCCTCAGATGGTCCACCCAGGTTATGGAATTGGATTCCTTTCCCCCTTCACTGGCCAATGATTTTTGTGGGTTCGTTTTGCCTTTTGGAGTGCCTGGCATGTCTGTGGCTGAGGAGGCCTGGTAAATCCCCCCATGGAGAGTGAACTGTGACGAGTGTGTATGCACGGGGGCCATGCTGGAAGCCAAAGAAGGTCATCCAAGCGATTAAGAGCAAGATCACCTTAGCCAGACATTGAATCTAGAGGTTGAAGCTGCCTTCCCACATGCTTACCAGGTCTGGAGCCCTTTTCCTGGGCAGATTGGTATCCTGTTGTCATGGCAGTGGGCCCAGCCTTGCGTCATGTTCCCCACCCTATTAGTTCAGGGGCTACTTTCTATTTGGGGATATTGAAAGTTGCTCTCCTGAGGTCTCTGGCTTCCGGACAGACCTCCCTGGCTCTTTGTCAGTGACCTGCCACCTCCTCAGCTTCCCCTCTGTCCTTTTGTGATGAGAACTTTCCAGGAAACATCCTCCTGGTTGCTGGACATGACTGGTTATATATAGCTTCGGGTGGAGGTGTGCTTGTCCATTTGGGGTTGGAAACATTGGAGTCGGGGCTTCAATTCCAGGAAGATGATGGGGGAAACTATTGTATTGGGGATTAGGGGAATGAGAAGGGTCACAGATGTGAGGGAGGGGTAGAATGCTGATGGTCACTTCCTGTGGGAGCTTTGAGCTTTGAACAGTTGATGACCTGGTGCCCGGCAGCTCTGAGGATCTAGTTTGTTTACTCTCTCCTGGCCTGGCTCAGCTTCCTCCCATGCCCCAGGCTCTCCTGAGAAGCCCTCAGGTGGATTGTGCCCTTCCTGACTCCTGCCTGGTCCCTCAACGTCACTGCCTGGCAGTCTGGACAGTCAGCCTGTTGCCTGGAGCTCCCGTCACCGGCCTAGCTGGAGGCTGCTCACTGAGGGTTGCATGTGTCTTCAGAAGTTGGGCCTGAAAACTCTGGGGTTCCCCAGAGACAGGTACCTGAAGGTGAACTGGGAGAGGCAGAACTGGGGCTTATGTGAAAGGAAGAATCCACCCTATTCGGGTGGAGCAGAGAGTTGTTGGATCTCAGGAAGCCTTAACCCGGACTTGGTCTGTCCCCTGTCCCCAGGGCAGGAGGGCTGTTCTTACTCCTTCTCAACCAGAGGTCTGTCCCCAGTCAGACCTCCCTCATCTGGAGTGGACATCACAGACTGGAGCCAGAACATCCATGTAAGCAGTGTCCTGATGGTGGCCCTGGGCCCCAGGCCTCTCCTGGGCGTGGTGGGTAAAGCTGAGGCACTCTGGCTTGAGGTAGCTGAAAGGTTTGAGGGGACAGGAGGGCCCAGCCCACCCTGTGCTATGATTAACAGGTTTCCCAGGACTTGGGTTGGGGGCTTGATAGAGCTTTTAAGTTCTGCTTTGGCTCAGGCCCATGGGTATTTAAGATGCTTACTGCATCTCACCTCCCCATCACCATTTTCTGAGGCAGCCTGAATTAGGGGGTAGGGTGGTGCAGTGGCAAGAGCTGAACTGGGAGGGGTGGGGAGCAGACATGGAAAGCCTCCACTCTCCCTGCCCCCACTTTCCTGCCCTTTCTCTTGAGGTAGGAATTGTGTGGCTTGTAAATTATCCACATTCCCTTGACAATTCAAATAGTTTACAGTCAGGCAGCAGTTTAAATTGTGGACTGACGATTTTACAGGGCCCAGGGCCCTTTCTCTCAGCCAAGTACTTTATCACTTACAAGGAATTATTTTTATTATTTTCTGGTATTCAGAGATGTTGGATGCTGGGCTCTAGGTCACACAGCAAATCAGAGGGAGAGTGGGATTAGAACCTGCAGTTTGTGGCTGAGCAGAATACTTCTCTAGCAAAGGCAAGGGCCTGGAACCAAATCTGAAGTCTCAGGCCCATGGAGATGCTAGAGTTGGAATAGCTAAGACCCAGAGTGGGGACGGAACTTGCTCAAGGTCACACACAAGGTGGGGTGTAGGGGGGTGGGCAGTGTTAGCTGAGCTCAGAGCCCAGCGGGCTGCGGCAGGCCCCGTAGGGGGCCGAGGAGGTACACCTGGAAGAGCCACCGGGGACCTGGCGGGGTGGCTGGCACCTCTCCCGCTCTCTCGTCTCCCGGGGCCTTCGGGATTGCTGCGTTCCAGGGGAGACGGTATCGTAGCGGAGGCGCCGCAGGGCTGCAGCTGCGCCGGCCCGGCTGCCTGGAGGTGCCGAGGGCCGCTGGGTTCCAGGCGCTGCTGCGAGCAGAGCAGGGAGCGGGCGGGCCGGCTGATGTCATGTGAGAAGCGTGCAGTCGGAGTGAGTGAGCACACCTGGAGCCAGATAAGCTCCGTGTGACCTGGCAGTGAGTCACGGGGCGCTGCGGAGCTCCGCAGGACCGGCGGGGAAGGAGCTCCGCGGCGACAGGCGTCACCCTGCGCCACTCGGGCCAGGCCGGGCCGAGCCAGGTGCCGGGCGAGCACCACTGGGCCGCTCGTGCAGTCGTCTGTGGGGGCCGGTGCCCCGATCGAGGCCTCCGGCCGTAGGAAACAGCCGCTTAGGGAGGTCAGGGGCCAAGCGAGAGAGGCCGGCTCTCTTGGGAAAGTATTTCCTTTGTATTTATTTATGAGTGTGGTCTGGGGGTGGGGGTGCGGCGGACCGACCGTTTTAAGTATCCACCCACAGCAGCCAAGTCTGGGCGCCCTTGTCTTGGGATTCTAACGTTATAGTTTCCATTTCCTGGGGTTTCTACTTTGCCAGCTGCAGGGTGACCCATTTAAATCCGTCCCTACTTAAAGCCACAAGACACCAGTGAGATCTATTTTAACCAAGTCCCCCAAGTCACTGAAACTTTTTCAGGGCTCCAGAGGGCATGCTTTGAACTTGCTACTGGAAACCTGTTCACAGCTTTAATGCAAAATGGATTGCTTACTGCTTTGTCAAACCTTTCTTTTTCTTTTTTAATCTTTAAAATCGCAAAAGTAACATGCTGAAAAAAGGTTTAATCTATAGCAAGTTTACTAGGTAGAAAACTGAAGTGTTACCCCTCTGTTCCTACTCTGCAGAGAAAACCGATAAATTTATGTAATGGATCTTTCCAGACTATTTTTTTTAAAGCTTGTTATAAATATTTTATATATCATATATTTATAGTTTAATATATTGTATGTTACATAAATGAAATTTTATATAAAAATATTAATTTTTTCCGGTGGGAAATAAAAAACAAGAAGAAAAGTAGAAAAAAAATTATATATAATTTTACTATCTAAAGCCCCTAGGCTTAAATGTACGCACACGTGCACACACACACACACACACACACACATACCCCTACCAGCTAAATATTCTCACGGTAAAAAATTAAAACAATATAGACTAAACACAAGTCTACTTTGGCCCCTCCAAAATCCTTGTCTCTTCCCTAAAGCATACATTTTCCTATGCATATGCAAATATTACACATAATGTACATGTATACATATGCACACATATACATAGTTTTAAAAATTTAATAAAAATTATATACTGTCTGGCTGCTTGCTTTTTTTCACTTAACAATATAGTACAGAATCTTTCCAGGTCAGTATACACAAATCTACCTCATTCTTTGAAATAACTGTCTAGTTCTATAATTTAGAACAATGCTATTGTAAACAATGCTGCAAAGATTAGCCATGTTTATTGTGTGAATATATCTATAGATGTCTTACAAGTAGAATTGCCCTGTCAAGGAGTGAGACACCCTGCTTCCCATCCGCTGACTCGTGCTATTAGTCTTGTTTTGTTTTTGTTTTTTTTAGTTGAACTGCTAAGTGAACACAGTATATCTCTATTTTATTTCACATGTCTGTGGCTGTTACTGAGGCTGAGTACCTGTTCATGTTTGTTGGCCATTTGCATTTCTGCATCTATGAATTGCCTGTCCTTATCTTGGCAGTAGTTGTATGAGGCCTCTGGGCTTGAGCCAGTGTGATCCAGCTTGGCCATGTGCTCACTGGATTGCCTTCACTTCTTTGAGCTTTACTTCTCATATACAAAGGTCCTGTCCAGCATTAATGTCTAGACTTATTTTAGTCATACTTGTGCTGAGAGTCATTTGTGTATTTTATTATCCTCTCTACCATCCCATTTAGATGGCAAGAATGTGCCTTGCTATTATTGGGTGCCATTCTTGAGGGTTTACTCTGGGCTATATGAAGGGCATATATACATATATTATTTAATTCCCATGCCTTATGTGGTAGATACTATTATTATCTCCATTTAAAAAATGGGAAAATGGAGACACCGAGGCCTTAAACGACTTGTCCAAAATTGCATCACTGTTAACTTGAATTTGTTCCCAGCTTTGTTACCTGACATGTGAAGCCTAAACTGTTTCATGAATTTTATCTTTATATCCCTTGCATTTAGTAGGTGCTTGATAAATACATATTTCCCCCAACATTTTATCATAAACACTCAGAAAAGTTAAAGAATTTTACAGTGAACACCCTTCACCCTCCAGACTCTACAGTGAAAATTTTACTATTCTTGTTTATCACATCATTATCCCTTGATTCAACCATCAAGCCATCTTACCTTTTTTTAAAGCCATCTTACATTTTTGATGCATCTCAAAGTAAGTTGCATACACCAATATATTTTGCCCCCAATACGTTACCATACATATCATCAACAAGAGGTCAGTATTTGTTTACAGTTCTTTTTTGCCTTTGAATGATTACCTCACACAATGAAATGCACAAATCTCATGTGAACTATTTGATGACTATTGACAAATAAAATATGTACATATCTGAGAGTCATAATTACATTTTTAAAAAATATATGTCAACTTAAACGCTTATCAAGGTATGTGGCATGAACATCACCCCAGAAAGTTCCCTCATGCCCTTTTCCACTGCACCCCTACTTCCCAGAGGTAACCACTGTTCTGATTTTTTTTAACCCTAGGTTACTTTTGCCTATACTAGAAATTCATATAAATAGTTATCATACCAGTATGTCAAAGGCTTCTTTTACAGTTACTTAACATAATGTTTTTGAGATTCATCCCTGTTGTGTGTATCAGTAGTTTCCTTTTTATTGCTGGGATAGTGTTCCATCATATGAATATGTAATTTGTTTCTCCTGTTGATGAATTGATACATGTGTATTTGAGCTGAGTGTTCCTTGCCCTCAAAATATCTTCAGTCTTAAAGCAGCTGAGTTGACTGAATCAATGGTACTTCGATTTGGGGGACACCAGGGTCAGGATGATTTAAGTACATACTCTAATTTACAAACATACCTTCCTTGCACTTAAAATTAGGAAAGGCCTCCTAGAGTAGGGTGAGGGGAGAAAGGCAGAGGAGGAGGTCAGAAAAACTGTAAGGTACCTAACACTGGAGAGGGTAAGAGATGAAGGGTGGCAGGTAGAAACTGCAGCCTGGAATGGAGAGTCAGGAGGCAGTGATGTCATTGCTGCTAGAGACTTTGGACCTGAGAACAGGAGATGCTGGAAAGTCCAGGATCTACAGGAAGTTGACAAAGCCCAGATCTCTGGCGAATTGGGAGCTGAGAAGCATAGGAGCAGCTGCAGGTGCCTTGTAGGTCTGACCCTGGGTAGAGGGGGTAGGTTGCAGGTAGCTCTCAACATGTGGAGAGTACAGAGGCCACGACCAGGTCTGGCAACTGTAGAGACAGCAGTGGGGAAGGGGTACCTTGTGAGCTGTGCAGATAACAGTGGCAGGACAGGGGTGATGAGGGAAGGGCTGAAATGGACCCAGCCTCCAAAGGTTCCAGGGTTGGGATGACTTTGGCAGAAAGTTAATAAGTAACCTGTGTCCACAAGAGACTTAGATATTTGGAATTTTAGAGCTAGAAGAGACCTAGATCATCTAGTCCAACCTTGAGCAAAGTGACAGACTCAAGGTCCCCTAGCGATTTATTGGCAGATCCAGGCCTAGATACCAGATCTCCTAACATTTCCTGCCAGCCCTATCCCCCTGTGCTGCTGCTGTGACTGTCTGTTGTTTTTGCCTGTTGCAATGACAGTGAGGGACAAGCTTTGGCCAAGACAGCCCAAAGATTCTAGAATGCTGGGGGCTGTTTTCCGTTGATACTCCTCAGATACCTAGCCCCCAGCAGAGAGCCAGGATTGGGTAAGGACTGAAGACTGAGAATTGGAGACCATAAAAGGTGTCTTGATGGGACAGCATTGTAGGCAGTGGGATTCTCTGTGCTGGGCTGAGGCCAAGATACTCGTTTGTTCCCTCCAAGTCCCCTGCATGGGTTTCTTTCTTCATTTTCCCCACAGGTGCCCCTGGAGCCATCTTTTAAACCAGCCTTTTAAGAGAGTGCATGTTGTGATGGCTGAGAGAAAAGGTGAGCAGTGCCCAGCCAAAGATCCCATGTCCTGGCATATGGTCGGTCTGTCCGCACCTCCATCAATGTTTAGGAGGAGAGCAGAGACTCCCCATATTAAAGTAGAGCCCTGAAGAGAGGTGCTTGCTGCCAGGCACTCCCCCTCCCCAAATCAGTCCAAACTCAGCTGGCCAAGGCTGTCCCTGGCTTTGCACACTTCTTGGGCCCTAGATTTCCTGTCTTCTACTCCCAGGTACTGTGCATGGAGCATTTAGAACCAAAACATTCAGAGGGAACTTTGTTTTACCATGTAGAAACTGAGGCCAGAGTAGGAGGGGGCACCTGCTAGGTCCACAGGGAGCAGGTGACTGGGCCAGATTTCCCACCTCTTTGGTGATGCTCTACAACTCAGGATTTCTCTAGAATTCGCACTGTCCAATCTGATATCCACAAGTCACACAGGGCTGTTGAATACTTGAAATGTGGTTAGTCTGAACCGAGATGTGCTCTAAGTGTTAACTACGCACTGAATTTCAAAGATTTAAAGGAAAAGAGAATGTAAAATATCTCAATATTATTAATACAGATTACATGTTGAGATGATAATATTTTGGATGTATTTATATTAAACTATATTGTTAAAGTTAATTTCACCTGTTTCTTTTTATCTTTTTAAATGTGGCTACTAGAAAATTAACAATTACGTATGTGATGTGAATTATGTTTCTTGTGGACAGCACTGCTCTAGAGAGGTTACATTGATCTCTCGGGAACCGCGTGGGTCAAGGTGCTGGGAGGAGGGATGGAAGAGGAATTAGCTGGGGCCCTGGGGCCCTGGGGCCCTTGGGCCCTTGGGTGTTCCTGGCCTTGATGCCTTCTTAGGAGTTGAACCTGTGTTGGGGGGGGTCCTTCTCAGTAGAATGGGGAGCCTAGAGTGCCTTGCTTGTTTGTGGGGATGGGGTACACGGAGGGAGGGCCTCTCCAGGGCTTGGCAAGAGGTCATTGCTGCAAAGAGTAAGCTTGTAGGTCCTGTGTCTAGAAGTCAGGGTGGGGGACCTTCATGGAGAAAGGAAAAAAATTACATTTAATTTCTAATTAGGTGGTATGGCCTACTTCTTGTTCCCTGCTGGTTAGAACAAGGCAGGCTCTCTCTATTTCACCCCCACCAGGCTTTTCTCTGTCCTGTCCCCAGTCGGGTGTGCCAAGGGATGGGAGTAGGTCGGTGCCACAAGCACACAAGCCCTGGAAC